GATTTGGCAAAAACGTACTTGTCAAATTGGCATCAAGCCATAAAACACACTAAACAAGCATCCCATAGCCTCACCCACTGGGAAGCTTATAGCAAGGTTCAGATGCGGTGGTATCTGGTCTCAGCGAAACTTTCACGAATGGATGCAGGTGCCAAGAGCATAGGGGAACCTTACTCCACATTTTTTGGAAATACCCCTGCCTCACACATTTGGAATTAAACAAATCATACACACTCCAATAAGAATACCAATACCAACTCACCCTGAATTTTACTTATTGCATATGCACCAGGGCCTGTATACGATACAGATCACATCGGTAGTCATACACATGCTATTGGCAGCTAAAATGAGCATCGCCAACAATTGGAAAAAAGCAACTCCCCCAGATATATCGGAGGTGTCAGAGAGAGTGGATAGGACGTGCCAATATGAAAGAATGGCATATAGAATAGACACCGAGAGGACACGCATAAACAAATGTGTCCTCTCTGTGTCTATTCTAAAATTGCTATATTCTGCCGGCTACTTAAGAATACCAAACTAGGCAGCTATCTACTAAACAGCAGAAAAGTAAAAAAAAAGCCCTTTTTTCAAATTTTGCTGTTTGAACTGACTAGTAGATAAGTCCCTACTTTGTAATCCTTCTGAAAATGAATGGATCCAAACACTTTTGTTTCTATTTGCTCCAAATTCATTCTTTATTTCGTTGTGTTAGAATATTGAAAATTAATTTACTTCCAAATTCCGAATTCACTTGAAATTTCGATTTTAGTAACTGTACTAATTCTAATCCAATTATCTCCAAACACAGAAAAAAACACTTTAAAACACCCCAAAGTACCCTACAAATACATAAAACCCCACAGATGTTACATCCCCGGGTAGCCCTGATCTGGGTGACCAACATATCCAAAAATCACCGAGATCAGGTCAGGAATTTCCTGGAAGTCTTATTTTTGACCGACCATGCACATGGTCCTATGCCCAAAACATTTCCAGGGAATCAGGGCTAACTGTCAGTCTCTCAGTCTGGAGTACAAAAGTACATAACTCACATGAACAGAGCCTTTTCAAAGTATTTTAGCCATGTCTATTGCAGAGGCCATAGTCACAGGGCAAGAGGCTGGCCAGCAGGCTCCTCCAAGAACCAGTGACGAGGTCCATTTTGTCACAACTGGAATTTAACAAAATAAAGCAAAGTTTTTTGCCATGCACAAGTCTAATGTAGTCTTCAAGGTCCAACTTTTTGTGTGTTCAGAGATTATGAATATCACTGTAACGAGTGATTATTTTGCATGCTGTCCCCTTCCTGTCACTTTGTACCAGTCTTCCCATTCTCCTCTGATTCCATAAATATGTTTTTGAATATAGATCTGCCTATCTCAGGCTGAATTTTGTATCACTCTGTGTAAGCTCCACAAGAATTGTGAGTGTTCTGCTCGGAGCTCATTGGTTGAAATTGATCAGCTGACTCTCAGCCAATATGTTGGTCTTGAACAGCCGGGTTTAGCTCAGGAGAGCCAACAGAAGCTCAATGCAAAACCCTCTGTGTGAAGGAATACCCCATCACTTGGTTCGGCACATTTCATTTCCTTTATGTTCGTTTATTTGTGCGAATCCACCCACCAACGAGGACCACCCCAACACCTCATTAGAACATGCAATACAAAGTATCCCATTTGAAAACCACAACAGAAACAATTAATAGAATGCTCCCCTGGGTGTACCCATTTCGTGAAACCGAACACATGTGGATGACAGAATGGAAGGCGGACATTTTGTCTTCCGAATGCAGGCAGTGGGACTTGGTCGTCGAGTGCCTGGAACTGATGCCCATTCAAGTTTCCGACCACCTGTATTGCGTTCAGGAGATACAAACTACCGACTCGGGGAAGCATTCGATACTTGAAGATTTTCGTATGTTGTATGTGGTTTATGTACAAATTACCTCCAACTGAGACCGGCCCTCACCACGATTCCTCTGGAACTATATTGGGCTTACACCTCATGGCCGGCCGCTAGATGTGTAGTGGAGCTGCAATATTAAATTCCATGATCTCCGCTGGTACAGAAAGTAATCCACAGTCAAGCGCTGAAAAGTAAGGCAATATCCCAAATCCCCCAGTAACCGGACGAAACACAGTTCTGGGCGTCAACTGAGGTTTTTATTCACAGTCCCCATGCAAGGGGTTTCCCTACTGACATAGCAGGGGTAATACAGTAGGGGACTACATGGGGAACTTAACATTCAGAGCATTTCTCCCATCAGGCACTGCTGGACGAGAGGGATACTCCCACTGGAATATACCGTTAAGTGGATTATCCCTCAATGCAGCAGAACCGGCATTTTACATTTAAATCCATAACTTTAACAATATTCAGTTTATTTAAACGAATGGACGTTCAGTAGATAGCTGGGGTCTGAGTGCACATTTCGTGGGAATACCGCTCAGATCCCAGCTAAAACAACCGAATGTCGCCCTAAATACACTTTGCCATTGAGTTCCGGAGACCGGAGCTCCCGAACGGCCTGGAAGTCCAGTGGTGTTCGCGCCGTCGAGTAGCCGTTTTCAGTTCCACGCACTCGACGACCAAACACCGCTGGTGAGACAAAGAATCCAAGATGGCCGACCGCCGCGTGGTCGGTAGTCGAACGACGGCCACCTAGGAAAGGCTTTAATTACCGATTGCAACAATGATGCAATCGGTTAATGAGTGCCACACGTCCCTCTATGTGTGGGCTATTAGGGGGTAGCTCATTCGGTTCACGAACAGCCAGTAAAGTCGCTGCTCGTGAAACGAAATACATGAATGCTAGCGACTTTCGGCTGCTAGCATACGAATTCTATGCACATAACAGTATAGACCAAGGTTACACATATATTACAGCGGTTATTACAGACAACCTTTTGATACAGATAGTCCAGCATCCTACAAGTGGCTAGGTTTGCCACAAGATGGCAATTCCAAACTACCAAACTGATCGGAGTGCTTTTGAATATATTACGCACTTAAATCAGGGCTATCCGGGGATGTAACTCTAGAGGGGTTTCCATGTATTTCAGGGTTTTGTACAATTGTTGTATTTTTCTGTACCTGGGAGATAATTGAGATTGTAATTTTTCTAACTTAATTATCTTCCAGGTACATGGAGGAGTTTACTGTATGCATAAATTGTGAAGCTTTGCCTGTAATAAAACACAGATCTACTCCCAGCATTCAGTCTCGACTAATGTGTGGGGGGAAAGACGATACCAGCGATATTTACTGTAACGGACCGTTTTGTACACAAGGGGTAAAAACCGTTTAGGCGATCGGCCCCCTTTCCAGAGATACAGGCACAGCTACTGCAGAACACCAGACTCCCGAACTGGATACAAAATAGCACTCCAACTCCCGAACTGGAACCTCCCAAATAGCTGCTAGCAGACGAACAGGAAAAGCAGACAATCAGCTTACACTCCTGGCAATCAGTCTCTAACAGCATACAGTGAATCCCCCCAAGAGCGAGACAAGGCTCCGTGTTGAGGGTCAAGCAGTGGTCTGAGGTGCTGGCACACCCAGCCTGGTTTTTATTACAGTCTTGCAAATACAGGACCGCCCACAGGGAGGTATAAAACAACCAATCACATCACAGTTGCATCCCACATATTCCCTCCCCTTATCCTGAGAGGAAACTCAATTACACATACAGTTAAAACATACTTTCTACCCAACTTTCATAACTCTAAAACCATACATCACATTCACATAAAATTACAAAGGCAGCAGGCGAGCAACCAGGCTTCTCCAATGCAATGTGGCGAGATTGGTCTCGTCACATTTACTTTCAGGAGTATTGGAGCTACGATATTTGGGGAAAGGGAATCAGTGGCGGTGATATACTGGCGGTCTGCCATACTCTGCCTTTCATAGAGGAAGTGATTTGACTACTTACATAGCAGGACAACGCCAGGACACCCCTGAAACCATAACCACTAAAGTGAACTGTAAAAGTTATGGTGTTTGGAGTGTTTCAGATGGAAATAATATAGATATGGAAATCCTGAGACCGAATATCTCCACTGAAGTTCTCTCAAGCTCAAATAAAGCGCTAGAAAGAAGCACCAGAGGTGTCTAAAAATACCAGGAGCTAGCCTAGAATATGGCTACAAATGCGTGAATGCCTATAAAAGAAGATATACTCATAGTGGTGCTGTACCTTTAAGGGAAATCTAGATATCATAGTAAAAACAGTATAAATAAATACATTAATGAATAAATAAGTGGATGAATAAAAATATAAAAGAGTAAAAAATAAAATAAAAATAAGAACAAAAAAGTAAATAAAATAAGTAAAAAACTGTAAAAATAAAATAAAAGATAAAAGATAAGATATATCTGGAACAGAAATGTGCAGTACAAGTGTCTTAATTATTGCTATGAAGCAGAATAACTGGCACCTGTACCAAGTGATATTTGATATACTTAGTATCAAGTTTGGATATACATATAAAAAATTTATCATATTGTAGCAATACAGTATGAGGAACTGCAGGCTAAAATATTGTTATCTTATCTTTTATCTTTTATTTTATTTTAACCATTTGGTGACCATGTACCTCTGCCTGTATTTGGGAGACAAAATGGCCGCCATTAACTAGAGCACGTGTTCGGTTATACGAATGCAGCCACCCAAGGGACGCACTACAACAAATTGCTCGTTTGAAGTTAACGTGCCAGGACTGGTCGGTGTTTGTAGGGTATAAAAGGGCGAACCACACATCTTATACAGCAGACCTAGGCTGCTACACCAAGGTATGCTCAGGAAACTTCAGAATAGGATAGTATAAGGCAGTGATGGCTAACCTTGACACCATACATTGTTTCTGAACTACATTTCTCTTAATGCTCAGCTAGCTTTTAGACTCTAAAAAGCTAGCTGAGCGCCATGGGAAATGTAGTCCAGAAACAATTTATGGTGTCAAGGTTAGCCATCACTGGTATAAGGTCTGCCCACATACATACACACATACACGGTCAATCCTAGGATCACAGGCGCTTAGGTGCAGAATTATTCTTGGTGCCACCGTGTGGGCCTTGTCGTCATACTAACTCCTCCCCTTGCAGACTGTGCATGTTTCCATGGCAATGATGCCCCCTCCATCTATAAGCCAAACCCATTTTTCTAATGAGACATACATTGAGAGAGACACACACAATCTCAGATTCCTTTTTAAAAATGTTTTAAAGACACTCACTGACAGACAGACAGACAGATATGGTCTTTAGAAATAGACCATTATGTACACGTTTGCTTGTTTCCTGAAACATAATGTCACCTTAATAAACATGGAAGGATCTAGTCAATAAATAAAAGCTCCCATTTTATAATATTTGAAGGTTAATAGGTTTTGCACTTCAGTTTGCACATCACTATCACATATATATCTTACATGAACAAAGAATAATTTGAGAACAATTTACTAAATAAAGTAATAATTTAAATTATGACCTATTAAAAATAAAATCTATGTTAAAAATATAAAAAATATCTAATTATTTTACAATGTATTTATTATATATAAAAAAAGTTTAACAGTGTAGCGCTTTAAATACAAAAGGTTACCTTAACAACAGTGGTTATGGTAGTTGTATGTTCTTAGACCTAAAGGAACACAAATAATACTACATAGTGCAGCTTATAGGTACAGAGAGTAGTGTGATAAAATTATTAGGTAGAACACTCACAAACAAGGAGCTATAGAACCTAGCTCCAGTTTGATTAACTTCTGGGTCCGTTTAGGCGACCCACCCCTCTATGGGAGAGGTGTTCATTCCTGGGGAAAATATATAACGTACGATAGGGTAGTACAGTAAGATGGAATAATACTCAAAATAAGTGCCAATTGGGTACTTACAAGCACAGTGCCCCTGTGGCTCTGTAGTAGCGTTCTGTGTAGGTATAGGGTTACACTCCCCCTTTAAGCAGATATTTCTTAGAAGTCTGGAACCAAATAAAAGCACATTTATTGAATTATATTAAAAAGTTAACACAAATAAAATGAAGGACTATGTCTATAAAAGATGTACTGGTACGCGTTTCACCACTAGATGTGGCTTCCTCAGCTGGATTAACGTTGTGTGTGTCTTGGTTCCCAGCCTCTGTTTATATATCCTCCTAAATAGGGGATTTTCTGCAACTGTGAGCTACGTGGCTACCATATCGGATTGTACGTACCTCGTTTCAATAGTAAATTGAACAGCCCGGCGAACACTCTCAGCTGGATCGCCATCAGGTTAAAATTACCCTGGGCTGTTACTTCCGAGCGTTCCTAGCCTCGCTTTCAGAACGTGACGTCAGCGGGATTCCCGGCTTGTGTGGTCTGACGGTTACTGTTCGTTTTGGGTTATATCCTTGTAATAGTATCCAGTTATTGTCCAAAATTTCCAGTATGAACCAACGAATTAACCTTTGTGTCTCTCATTTAATTTATATTGAGCAATAAAGTAATGTCGATGTTTAACCTCCCCATCTTTTATATATTAACCTTCCTTTTTATAAATTTTTACAATTAGTATAAATTATAATACACATTATACTCCTACATTAATTTTATATTAATACATTTTAACTGTTCATTTAAACTAGTATGTATGGATAAGTAGGAAGCAAATCAATTCATAGTTTAAACAAATAGTTTTTTGTATATTATAAAGGGATACTGTACCTTTAAAAAAGATCACCTATACTTAACCTTTATATAATGTAGCGTTTTATAGGCAGCAATAATTACCACAGCTTAAATTAAATCCTCTAGTTACGAATAAAAGCTTCCTAATTGCACTGAATGTTTAACACTATGGGTATATTACTTAAACATTGACATTGCTTTATTGCTAAATATAAATGAAATGAGATTTTTTATAAATAGAAATACAGCTAATCATTGTCTATATTGTTATATCTCTTTTTATTCTTTCATGTTGATTTATGGAGAGACCCACAAGGGTTCATTTGTTGGTTCATGATAGAAATTTTGGACAATAACTGGACACTATTACAAGGATATAACCCAAAACGAACAGTAACTATTAAGAAATATCTGCTTAAAGGGAGAGTGTAGCCCTATACCTACACAGAACGCTACTACAGAGCCACAGGGGCTCTGTGCTTGTAAGTACCCAATTGGCACTTATTTTGAGTATTACTCCATCTTACTGTACTACCCTATCGTACGTTATATATTTTCCCCAGGACTGAACACACATCCCATAGAGGGGTGGGTCGCCTAAACGGACCCAGAAGTTATTCAAACTGGAGCTAGGTTCTATATATATTTTGGTGACTTTGATCCATTTGCAATGACAGACAGACATACAATTTCATTGATTTGAAGTACACTCACTGATAGACACACAGTTTTTTTTAACTGCGCGCTGTTTAGTATGCTGGAATCAGAATGACATCATATTCCTGCTCCCAGCAACACAGAGGGTGCAGGAGTGTAGAACTGCAAGATCAGCACTCCCTCGCCGCCGCTGGCTGCCTGACTCCTCTCGGAAGATTAGGCACCCGCCATTCAGGTAAGCAAGGGGCTCCTCTGCCTAACAGAATAAACATCGCACCAGGGACGCCCTACGGTGGCCAGTTGACCACCGCCTGTGCCCCCTTCTCTCTGCGCTCATCACCCTCAGGCGCCTGGGCACGGTGACCCACCCAGGATCAGCTATATATGTCCCCACTAATACTGGGTGGGTGCACCATGCCCGAGCACCTGAAGGTGGGAAGCGCAGAGAGAAGCCCTGTCACAGGTATATTTGCTGATTATCGGATAAGATTGGGTTATGTTCCTGTCTTTAAATAATATGATCTCTGCATTTACCTTTAATCAAGTGAAGCTAAATGTTTGTCAGCTCCTGTGTGCTCCATGCTCACTATTACCATGTTTCTTCTTTCAGTCACAGGAACAAATTGTCTGAGCTGCCTGGCCAAGTCTATCATTGGTGGTTCCGTGGTGCTGTTTGCAAGCACTGTGCCCCTTATTGTGTTCTGTTTATACCCTGTGTGGAGCGAGAAGCGGAATTCATGAACACCCAGAGATCATAATTCGGGAATACCGGGCTCAGCCAATGGAATCAAAGAGTGAACAACGCCGAAGGGATTTACAGAGTGTGACGATAATTCAGCCATTATAACAGAAACTATTGTATATAAACAGACAGACAGTAAACACTTAGCAACTGATCTATTATAAAACGAAACGCATTGCTGCCAAGCATCCTGTCTAATATTCAGATTAACATTATTAAAGGGACACTGTAGTCACTATAACCACTTTGTCTCTTTGAATTGGTTATAGTGCCTGGAGTGGCCTGGCACTGTCCCTCCATTCAGTGTTGCACAATGTTTGTGCAGTATGCCACAAAATAAGAGTCCCTGGCCACCCACAGTCTGGCCCCTTCTGTACACACTTCCTTGTTGTCATACCCATTCATACCATCAGTTGGAGCTCTGAGAGGTTAAACGCAGTCAGCTGACACACTCAGCCAATCACAGCTGCCCACTGCCTCTCAGGGTAATACTTCCTTATTAGCCAAAGCAGCACAGAGGGGGATAGACTGCCGGGGACTCTTGTTTAGCATTAAAACATTAAAAACTGTTTAATGCTGAAAGAAATGATGGTACCAGGGGACTCCAGACACTATAACCAGTTTAATGAGTTGAAGCAGATACAGTGCCTACGGTGTCCCTTTAAATATTACTATTACTTGCAGAATAATATCTTATTATTAATATTGTGGTCCGGACCCCGTTTGTGAAGGACTGGCCCATCACATTCAGGTATTTTTTGTTGACTGGATACCAAAGTTTATCCAGTTTATTTTGTTTAGTTTGTTCCGTTCCCAAATTGAGACCACCCCAGAGACCCATTAGAATGTGGAATGTTAAGTATCCTGTGCGAAAAACACAACAGAACGAACTAATTGAATGCTCCACTGGATGGCCGCCATTTCGTACATACAAATGCACGTGGTCAAGACAATGTAGGATCTTTGTCTCCCGAACGCAGGCAGCAGGACTGCCTGGAACTCATTTTGGCCAGGCATTCACGCGAACACCGGTCATCATGGACCCACTGCTTGTTCCTGTTCCACGACACCTACACGAACTGCGTTCAGAAGTTACAGACTACCAAACATAGGGAGCATTTTCCACTGACTTGCTTTCATCCAGCTTGCATGGTTTTCACACCAAACTCCACGAACGAAGACCGGTTCTTGTCATGATTTCCCTGGAACTATTTTGGGCTTCAACCTCGTGTTAGACTGGTCACAACTACCCTGCGATGGCGATCCAAAACCACCAAACGGATCTAATATTCAGAGTAACGTTGTTAAATAGTACTATAACTTTTTTAATACCCTATTATTAAGATTGTGGGCCGGATCCTGTCTAAGATTCCAGGTAATCTACCGAATAGAATAGAAAAAAGGCACGAGGTCTTTTATGAAGAAACAAAGAAAGAAAAAGCAATGTTTTTCTTATACGTATGAATTCAGGCACTGAGTTGTTTTTTTGGCTACATATGAGAAACGCTCTATATTGTATTGGTAAGCCTTTTGTCTAGCGCTGCACTGTGTGTACATTAAGGGGGTTATCATCTAAACTTAGTTTTCACTAATCTACGAGGTCTTTTATGAGCCTTTTTGCATGGCCCATAGTCCTGAGGCAGGAGGCTGGCAAACAGGCCCCTCCAAGAACCAGTGGAAAGGTTACTTTCGCCACACCTTGTTATTAGTAACATCATGTGCCGGATCCGGTCTAAAAATTCTGAGTAATGTTATTAAATATTATTACAACTTGCGGATTAATACCTTATTAGTAACATCGTGGGACGGATCCTGTCAGCCCAGTAAACGGTTACTGAATAGCAATGCCGCCATTGAAGTCTGTGGGGAAATTCAGGAAATGTATTTACATCATCAACATATACATATATATATTCACAGCAAACTAGAAATAGTCTCTAATCGGCTCTGTCAGATCAACTTGCCTTAAATATTAAATTCACCCTGAATGACCCGGTTTGTCTTCCATTGCACTTCCAGTTGTGGACACTAGATGCCATTAAAAGTGCAGTTATGTGAATCAGAACATTATTATTATTTATATAGCACCAACAGATTCCACAGCGCTGTACAATGAGAGGACTGAAATACACGTATTTGTAACCAGACAAGTTGGACGCACAGTAACAGAGGGATTGAGGCCCTGCTCAGTGAGCTTACATGTTAGAGGGAGTGGGGTATAATGACACAGTAACAGAGGGATTGAGGCCCTGCTCAGTGAGTTTACATGTTAGAGGGAGTGGGGTATAGTGACACAGTAACAGAGGGATTGAGGGCCTGCTCAGTGAGTTTACATGTTAGAGAGAGTGGGGTATAGTGACACAGTAACAGAGGGATTGAGGGCCTGCTCAGTGAGTTTACATGTTAGAGGGAGTGGGGTATAGTGACACAGTAACAGAGGGATTGAGGGCCCTGCTCAGTGAGTTTACATGTTAGATGGAGTGGGGTATAGTGACACAGTAACAGAGGGATTGAGGGCCTGCTCAGTGAGTTTACATGTTAGAGGGAGTGGGGTATAGTGACACAGTAACAGAGGGATTGAGGGCCCTGCTCAGTGAGTTACATGTTAGAGGGAGTGGGGTATAGTGACACAGTAACAGAGGGATTGAGGGCCCTGCTCAGTGAGTTTACATGTTAGAGGGAGTGGGGTATAGTGACACAGTAACAGAGGGATTGAGGGCCTGCTCAGTGAGTTTACATGTTAGAGGGAGTGGGGTATAGTGACACAGTAACAGAGGGATTGAGGGCCCTGCTCAGTGAGTTTACATGTTAGAGGGGGTGGGGTATAGTGACAGTAACAGAGGGATTGAGGGCCTGCTCAGTGAGTTTACATGTTAGAGGGAGTGGGGTATAGTGACACAGTAACAGAGGGATTGAGGGCCTGCTCAGTGAGTTTACATGTTAGAGGGAGTGGGGTATAGTGACACAGTAACAGAGGGATTGAGGGCCTGCTCAGTGAGCTTACATGCTAGAGGGAGTGGGGTATAGTGACACAGTAACAGAGGGATTGAGGGCCTGCTCAGTGAGTTTACATGTTAGAGGGAGTGGGGTATAGTGACACAGTAACAGAGGGATTGAGGGCCTGCTCAGTGAGTTTACATGTTAGAGGGAGTGGGGTATAGTGACACAGTAACAGAGGGATTGAGGGCCCTGCTCAGTGAGTTTACATGTTAGAGGGAGTGGGGTGTAGTGACACAGTAACAGAGGGATTGAGGGCCCTGCTCAGTGAGTTTACATGTTAGAGGGAGTGGGGTATAGTGACACAGTAACAGAGGGATTGAGGGCCTGCTCAGTGAGTTTACATGTTAGACGGGGTGGGGTATAGTGACAGTAACAGAGGGATTGAGGGCCTGCTCAGTGAGTTTACATGTTAGAGGGAGTGGGGTATAGTGACACAGTAACAGAGGGATTGGGGGCCCTGCTCAGTGAGTTTACATGTTAGAGGGAGTGGGGTATAGTGACAGTAACAGAGGGATTGAGGCCCCTGCTCAGTGACTTTACATGTTAGAGGGAGTGGGGTATAGTGACACAGTAACAGATGGATTGAGGGCCTGCTCAGTGAGTTTTCATGCTAGAGGGAGTGGGGTATAGTGACACAGTAACAGAGGGATTGAGGGCCTGCTCAGTGAGGTTACATGTTAGAGGGAGTGGGGTATAGTGACACAGTAACAGAGGGATTGAGGGCCCTGCTCAGTGAGTTTACATGTTAGAGGGAGTGGGGGTATAGTGACACAGTAACAGAGGGATTGAGGACCTGCTCAGTGAGTTTACATGTTAGAGGGAGTGGGGTATAGTGACAGTAACAGGGGGATTGAGGTCCTGCTCAGTGAGTTTACATGTTAGAGGGAGTG